CCCCTTCTGCAGTGCCAGACTAGGCTGGACCCGCAGAAGGGGAGTGGGAAAGTCCCACTCCCCTTCTGCACTCAGTACTACGGGGACCAAATCCCAGACCGGGCTGGCATCGCATAAGCCCGGCGACGTTTTGCGGTTGCGACGTTTTGTGGTTGCAAAGGGTGTGTCTTAAACATGACATAACATCTTTTTAACTTATTAAAGTAAAAAAGATGTTATGCCAAGTTTCAAGTGTTCATGTCAGACATTGCTATGTAACAACAAGTTTTTTAACTCTGATGTTCATTGTCTGTCACGCGTGCAGTGTTCGGGCTCCAGCGGCGAGGGTGAATGCGGGCGCCCTGGTGGTGGCGCGCTTTCTCGGTGCCTTGGCTTTCAATTTAATCTAACTTAATGCTGTGCTAGTCTTACTACACATTCATCTACTAACTGTCTGGACTACTACTACTTACTTGTTACCGAGTTCGGGTTCAGCACCTGTGGGTGCAGGCTTGCGGGCCTTGGGAACCTTCGGGTTCAGCGCCTGCGGGTGCAGGCTTGCGGGCCTAATGGGAACCTTCGGGTTCAGCACCTGCGGGTGCAGGCCCACGGGCCTTAAGTTCTGTCAGTCGTGACATTCAGGATTGAATTTACCGTCGTCTTAATTGAGATTACTTTTCCCCGCCCCGTGCTCAGGTCATGGTGACTTCGGCAGCAGCTGCTGAGCCCAAGCGACGTGGCCGTTCTCCCGGTCCTCCTCGTGGCGATTCGCCTGGCCCTGGCGCTGCTCCGGCGGCAGAATCGGCTGCGGCGAGTCATCATGCCAGTCATGGCAAAGACGACGAACGCCGGGCGCAAGCTGCAGCTTCACCGTCGCCGCGCCAGGATTCTGACACGGCCAGCGACACACGCCGTGCCCGTGAGAAAGCCGACGAGGCTCACCACCGCGCGCACGACTCCGATGAAGTCAAGCACGACTCCGATGAAGTCAAGCGACGGGGCCTCAAAGACCGTCGCCGTCGTCGTGACGACGAGACCGAGCTTGCCATGGCCCGGCGGGGACACAGGGACGACGACAACCAGGCGCGGGTGTCACGGCGTTCCAGGCAGGAGTCAGCTGGCATTGATTTATTCAAATTTTCTCGTCGTCGTTAGACTTAGATTCTATTTTTTTATTAAATAATAATGGTGACAGAGTCGTCGATTCAGTCTCAATGTCACTGAGGCACGTGGAGCCCCTGCCCGACGGCTCTGAGAAGGATGGGAGCCGGGAGCCACCACCGTCAGAGGTGTCGGTCGCGGACACCGAGTGTGAGATCTGCGGCCAGTGGAAAAATGGGAACTTCGGAGTCAAGCAACACCAGAGGTCCTCGAAACACTGTTTGAGGTACAAGTTCTGGAACAAGGGGTGGAGCTGGGAGGCAGCCTGCAAAAAAGCTCAGTCCGAGTGGAAAAAGCAGGCGGCCTCCTGGAATAACTGGATCCACCGCGACGACCACACACCTGACAATCGTCGCCGCCCAAAGTCACCGGAAATGGGCCCAGTCAGGGTGAAGTCCAAGTCCAGGACTCCGAGGCGCGACCGGGAATCGGCGGACAAAGGTGGTGGCCCGCCACTGTCGTGTCCCCGCCGCCGGCCAAGGGCCGGGTGAGGGTGGCATCCCGCTCGTCGCCGCCTGCCAAGCAGCATCGTCGCGCTGCTCTTCACGACGGCGGTGATGACGGCGATCGCCGTCACGGCGGCAATGAAGGACAGACTCGCCAGTCGTCTGGCCGCAATGACCCCGGCGCTGCTCGTCGTCATCGTCCGACCGACGATCGGCGCGACAGGGATTACAATGCCGTCCATGTCAAGTCGCCTGACAACTACGGCCGTGAGGCGGAGGGGAAGCCCAATGCCAAGGTGAAGGACCGCAAGCCTGACCGCAAGCCGCCGCCCTCCAAGCCTGCGGCAGCATCAGCGGTCAAGGCTTCGGCCAACAACGCCGCCGAGTCAGGCAGTTACTACAGCAGTGACAGCAGCGACAGCTCGGGGGATGACGCCGAGCAGCAGGACCCAGTGGCCACAGTGCCAGCGGCGAAGAAGGGCGCAAAGCCCAAGGCCCCAGCCAGGGCCAAGACGCCGCCGCCGCCGAAAGCGTCAGCTGCAGCCCCGGCATCCAGCGACCTCAAACTCGCTGCGGTAGCTCGCTTTTACGAAAGCCAAGCGTTGTTTCTGAGGGGCCTGAGCGACGACCCGTGACCTGACCGCACGACGAGTCACGACCAGCGGCCGCTCAGCCGGAAATTGGCCTGTCAGTCTGTGGAACACTGCAGGCCCAGTTTGAAGTACTGACCCGCCGGACTTTGCAATGGCGGCTAAAAAATTGGCTTTCGTCATTCAATTCGTCGTCGTTGTCGTCGTCGCTTCAATCTCGTCGTTGTCGTCGATCAATTTTTTAATCGTCGGGTTCTGATTCTGATTCTGGTCTCCGCCGATTGCCGCTGTTGTTACATGGCTCAAATTGCATGTAGACTTGCGGGCTCATTGGGCAACGACGATTCGTCGTCAGGTGGCTGGCACTGGCACCCCTGGTGAACATGGCTGAGCCCATTAAAAACGTTTCAGCCTGGCGCCTCAACCAGGCTGAAAAAGATGAAGTCGCCAGGCGCACCCGGGCTGGCGAAGATGAGAAGACCGTTACCCGTGAGATCCAGTTGAAAAAAGCCGAGGCTTCTCGTGACAGGAAAGCTGCTGCCCAGGCTGTTGCTGACCGAGCCAAGCAGCAGGACATGGCAGCTAAGTTGGCCAAGGGAAAAGCTGGCCAGAAAAAAGCAGGGGCCCCAGAATTTGTTCAGACAGTGTCGTCTGATGATGCGACCAACAAAAGTTACTACACAGATGTGCAAGCCGACTGCGAAGTCATATTAGCAGAGTATGGCAAAGACTTTCAGCAGGCCAAGCCATTGTCACT